TTCCCCTGGATTCTCTCCTGGAAGGATGTCTTCATCTTCCAACACCCAGCCAAGTGTCACCTTCTCCGAACTTCCCCGAATCCCTCCACGAGTGTCCCTTCCTCCCCATCACGTGTTCCCACAGCCCTTGGCGCCTAGTTCTTCCCATCATTTCTCAGATTTTGTTGTAGATATTGGTTTGACCCTTCTAAGATCGTAGGCTCCTTGAGAATCACATCTTATTGGTTTTCATGTCCTCAGTGTTTAGTGTTGAGCAATGGCATGTGGACAGGTGCTTAATAAATGGTTATTGAATGAATGAATGAACGAACAAATGAGCGAGCCAACCCACCACTGGAAGCCCCTAGATTGCATACAAACGCAGAACTCCAAATTGGGAGCCCACACCTTTCACCTTGGTTTCCACAGGGCTATTTCTACAACTTTGCTTATCCCATATCTATGCTGAAGGCGCACAGGAAGTGGGGAGGGGCTGGTGGTGACTTTCTCAAGTAGTGAGTGACCGCCTCTGAAGCTGGTTAGAAGGAAGAAGCCACAGGGAGGGTCGGCGAGGGGCACACGTTCTGCTTGGGCACTTTGGTAAACGCTAGTGAGTGGTGTGCATGTACGTGTGTGCATGTGCACACGTGTGTGTGCACAGAGGCAGAGAGAGGAAGAGCGAGCACAGGCAGGAAGAGTGGATGAACCTAAAGGAAAGGTGAGTGACAAGAAGAGAAGACTAGAGAGACTTGTCTCTGGCAGTGTGGTGGACTAGATACTCTGACTCAACCAGACGAAAATTTTAAAAAATGGAGCGAAATATAAAAATTCACTTTCTAAATGCAAGCAAGGTGGTTAAAGTAGAAATAATCGTAAGAGATTTACAGGGGCAAAAAACAAAATGAAAATGCAAACCCTGGGAGATAAACAAGCCCCAGAGCTGGCTTTGGCCCTGGGAGGCTCTCTTAACTCTGGTGACCTTGAGCTTCCGCTACATGGGTTGCAAAAGACAGGAGATGTATCCAGGGCCCATGTGAGGTGAGGGATCTCACGGGAGATCACAAAAAGCTGGACCCCAGAGGAAGAATGACAAGTAAACTCAAGCACAGAAGGGATAGCAAGAAAACTTGCTTGTTTTGGACCTTGGCGTAAGTGGAGCGGGGAAAAATGCCCCTAAGAATGTATAACCACAAGGCAGCTCTCATACAAGTTTAGAACCATAATTCACACAACTAATGCAATTCCCCCCAAAACTCTCTAAATTTAATTCCTTTTAGGAGGAATGCAACTGCAGACCTCAAAGATCACACAGATAAAGTTCCAAGGAACATCGAGCTCCCAACCAAAAATAACAGTAAATATGCAGAAACAGGCCTGTGTGGTGAGGGGGCCCGAAACGGCAGACGGAAGAGTGAGATCCGTCACCTCAGCCACTGGAACGATCGGATTTGAAATACACAGGAGTATGTTTCACATGTGTTAGGAAATCAATGAGGAGCGTGGCCACTCGTGCAAGGAACAAGACACAGGAAGGAAACCAGCAGATGAGAGGAAATAAATAGAAGTGCTGGGTATGAAAAAAAATAAACAATTGACATGAAAAACGTAGCGAGGGTTTAAATAGCAGGTTAGAAGCAGCCAGGTAGACACTAGCAAGCTATGTGCTGGACAGGGACACTTCCCGATCCTTCTGGCCCTCCTGCAGGCTGGCAGCCCAGGCTCAGGCTGGGAAGGCCCGGGCCCCGCCCTCAGAGCAGCTAACCTCAGACAGGCCTTCACACTGAGCGTGGGCTTGGATCCACTCCAGGCGGTCCGAGTTCTCCTTCTCCCGCACCCCTTCGTTCACCTGGGAACACAGCTCCTCCGCCTTCTCCAGGGCGTGCTTCAAGTGGCTGTGGTCGGGGTGGTTCTCAGGAGTGTTTTCCAGGATCTGCATGGGAGAACAGAAGGCAACGACCTCCTGGGGTTCACTGTCCTGGGCGGTCAGGCCCAGAGAGGCAGGGCACAGCACAGACCTTTCCTGAACGGTGCCCATAGGAGCCGCAGCAGCTCCGAGCACCCACTGGGGCAATGACACGGAGCATGACAGTCACCCCTTGTGGGCAGGGTCCCCTTCGGGGCACAGGGGATGCCACATTATTCTCGGGGTATGAGGAGAGCAGTGGCGGCAGCAAGGGCAATAACACACCTCCGCCTGGATTTCCCTAGAGAGAATGGCCCTTCGCTGGGTCCGCTCACAGCTGCAGGTGTCTGTGCACCCCTGGATCTGAATGCAAATAGACGCATCGGAGCAAATGTGTGTTTTTCTGAAAAAACCACTCTCAGCCAGTGGTTAAGAGTGCCAGTTCTGGAGCTAGACCTCCTGGATGGAAATCCCTGCTCTGCCACTGACCAGCCATGATATGAGCCAGTCGCAGAAATATTCTGCATAGGAAAAATGGAGGCACTGATAGCACCTCCCTTATAAGACTGTTTGCAAGACCAAATGACAAAACGAGTGAAGCACTTTGCAGAGCACGTGGGCCTTTAATGAGAGCAATCCCTCCGGTTCTCAAGGGCCTTGGAGGCCACTCGAAGCAGTCCTCATGAAGAAAGGCCCTAAGAACAAAGAAAGGCCCTAAGCCACCTGTGGAATGCAGCAGGAGCAGGCGTACCGCTCAGGCCTCGTCCACATACACGCATGCCTCATTTATAGTGCTGCACCGATATCGTGCTCTTTACAAACGGAAGGTTGGCGGCAACCCTGGGTTGAGCGAGTCTACCAATGTCATTTTTCCAGCGGGCTCAGATGATGGTTAGCATTTTTTAGTAATAAAGTATTTTTAAATTAAGGCATGTGTATTTTTTTAGACATAATGCTATTGCACACTTACTAGACCACAGTATTATGTAAACATCACTTTTACGGGCACTGGGAAACCAAACATTTCTTGCAACTCGCTTTATTGCGACGTCCACTTTATAGGGGTAGTCTGGAATATCTCCGAGATACGCCTGTGCAAATAATTCAGGTGGGCCTTACCCTGAACGGTACCGCATCTCAAAAGTGTACTTTGGTTTCAGGTCCTAAGTAAGCACCCAAATTGAAAAAACACACACCTTCTGGGTCCTGTATGTCCACCAATCATTTACAAGCAACAGCTCTAACCTCTGGGCCAAACCTGGCTGTAATGATTTTACATAAAAATCTCTGAAACCTCATGATGCCTTGTCCCTGACCATATCAGAATCCCTGGGGGTGGGACTCAGGAATGGGAATTTTCTAGAGTTCTCCAGGTGATTCTACTGTGCAGCCAAGTCCGAAGACCACACAGCTGGGTTGTGTGAATTCATTTGTTTTGTTTCAAAATGAGAATAGGTTTATCGATTTTTCCAGTTGTAAAAATAAGATTGTGCAATGTACAAAATTTAGAATATTCAGGAAGTTATAAAGAACCTAAAAATCACCCATCATCTCTCCTTCTACAGACAACCTCTGTATACATATATACACTCTGTCTAAATATATATGTATATATACAAAATTTTTTAAAAATAAAAATTGGATCAAACTAGAAGACAACACTATCCCATTTTGTACACTGCTGTTTTGTCACTTAGTAGCAGTTATAGCATATTGTTTGGTGTCCGTTTCATATGGATCTATGCCATCATTTTTAAGGATTCTATGATATGTCATTATAAGGATGAACCACAATGCCTTTAAACAAACTTCAGGTTGTTTCCATTTTCCCAATATTTCTGATTATTTCTTTCAAATAAATGTCTAAAGATGGAAGTGCAGTTTGAGCTATACATTGCCCTCCAAAAAGCTTAACCAATTTACCTTCCACTGGCATCCTTGCCAACACTGGGGACCTACAATCTTTCCGATATATGCCTATCTGGCAATTCCAAATCAAGGTATTTTCTTGTTTTGTGATGCATTTCTTACGTTTTGTATATTTAGTTCATCTAACATTTATATAATGCTTAGTGTGAGCCAACCACTATACATATATTAACTTAGTTAATTTCTACAATACTCTGCATACTATGCAGTAGATACAATTAGTGTTCCTATTTTACAGATATAGAAACTGAGTCCCAGAGAGGTTAAGTAGCTTTCCCAAGGTCACACAGTAGTGGTACCAAAATTCAGATCAGAGAGCCTAGCTCCTGACTATGTGTTCTTTACTAAAACTCTACATTGCTTCCCAGAAATGTGCAGTTGTACATTTTACCTATTTTTTCATTAGGGTATTTATCTTTTTCTTTTTGAGTTGTAAGGTGCTTTAGATAGATAGATAGATAGATAGATAGATAGATAGATAGATAGATAGATAGATAGATAGATAGAGATAGGTAGGTAGGTAGGTAGGTAGGTATAGATAGATAGATAGATAGATAAATAGAAAGAATACATACATACATACATATATACATACATATATTCCAGTATCTACTTATATATAGTTAAAAACGTTTACCCTGTTTATATCTATCATTTGTCTTTCACATTGTTCATTATCTTTTGTTACACAGAAAATTTTAGGAAATGTGGTTGTGCAAATACTCTATTGACGCATTCTTGGTATGCAAGATTCCAGCAATACAGAAGTGTGTAGAGCATGCCCTACCCCAGAAGTAACCATGACCACAGGCCAAAGGGCATCCCTCTAGTTTCCTTTAGAACAGTGGTCCCCAACCTTTTTGGCACCAGGGACTGGTGCTCCTGTGAGAATCTAATGCCTGATGGTCTGAGGTGGAGCTGAGGCGGTGATGCCAGCCCTGGGGAGTGTCTGCGAATAAAGATGAAGCTTTGCTTGCTTGCTCGCCACTCACCTCCTCCTGTGCTGCCCAGTTCCTAACAGGCCATGGACCCGGGGTTGGGGACCCCTGCTTTAGATGTTCTACATACATTTAATAGTCACACATAGAATTTTTCTTCTGCTTTGCAAAACAGATCAACCTGTAGGATTGCTCATGAAGAGTTATTGTTTTTAACTTATTAGCATTCTCTGGATGTCTCTCCATGCTAATCGGTAAACGCTTGAAAATTGAGGATAATGGAAGCCAGGCTCCACAGAGAAGGAAGTTATAACTATATGGGAAGTGGGAAGGCTAGGACATAGAGTCTGTCTATCTTTTGAAATATTTTATAGTACAGATCTACCACGATTTATGTAACTACTCTCCTTAATGAGCATCCAGGTCATTATGAGAATTAAAGATTTCTTTTAGAGTTGCTACAACCTCAAATTCTTTAAGGTCCTGTCTTTGGTACCATGCTAAGAATTTCTCCACCTCGGTGTTATAAAAAATATTTTTAATCTTAATACTTTTATGATTTTCCACATGTGTCTTATCACTGGCTACCTTTTAAAATTCTTTTCTTAGTTCTGCTAGTTTTCAGTTCATTCTCTCGGGTTCTCCGAAGGGCAGCAATCATATTTCTGCAAATAATGACACTTTTTTTCCTTTTGGATATTTGCCCCTCTCAGTTTTCTGATTTTTGTTTTTTTCTCCATCGGCTATTTCTAGAACACCTGTTTTAAAAGTCTGTTTCCAATTTCATGTGTGATTAAATATTGGGGGAAATAAAAAATGGCGTGGAGCTAGTTGAATAGTAACTGTCGAGTTGGAAGAGAGGACACATTAGGTGAAAAGCTTCTTTCAACACTAGTTCTTTAACCGAGTCAATGGGGGCAGAGTGTATTTTGTGAGGTTGAGCTGGGGTTGGAATGAGACAGCTTACACGGGAGGGAGATTTGATACATATAAAAGCTTCGAGAAAATTCATAAACATATTGAGGATAAGGAGAGCCTGGCTTCTCATAGAGAAGGGAGTTATAAATATATAAAAAGAGCGAAGGCTAGAATAGGCTCTACGGTATTAGATTAGAACAGGAGGTACTGGTGTGAACACATAGGTTTTAATGTACATTAAAATATACATAGATTGATCTTCACATACATATAAATATGTGTGTGTTCACTTACGTATATGTGTGTGAATATATTTACATACACATACCCTTGACTCTACCACTGAGAGACCCAAAAGGCAACACCACCCCAGTAGCGGTGAGCACACCAGTGTCTGGATCTGGGTTTCTAACTTCTCCTCTAAAAGGAACTTGATCTAAAACCTCCCTGTGGTTACATAATCTCAGGCTCAGAGGATGTCTAAGTCTTGTCACTCACTTTACAGATGAGGCCTCTGAAACCCTAATTATTTTTTCTTTTTTTTGGCACTGGCTTCTTGAAATAGCAGAAGGACAACTATCATCTAATGTCAACAGAGTATCTCACAGTGGCTTTCTGAAGATGAGTGGTAGGAATTCTATTTCTTTCTGTTTCTTGCTAGGAAAATCAAGGCTTTAAAGGCACTATGCTTGCATTACGGAAAGATCCAAGGATGAGCTCTCGCTTTCCAACTTATAGGGTAGAAGCCACTTGATTGCAGAGCTGAAGGCTGAGCATTATTAGCCCTTTTCACAATAAACAGCTTTTCTTTCTGAGTTACCAAGCAGGTGACTCATACACCCTGTTGGTATATGATCTCTACACAACAGATACCAGGTGTGCTGGCTGGAGAACTTGCCCATGACCCTGGATCCCTGAAATGCTGAGACAGCATTTCACTGCTTGAAAAGGCGAGACGGGTACTTACATTTTTAATGATCAGTGGGTATCTCGTTACCCGTTGCATAGGCTTCAGTATAAAACTAGAGAGGGGCATTCCTTTACAGCGAGGGTCCATCGCCAATCTCTGAAACAAGAAATTTAAAAAATGCACTTAAGATATCTGCAAAATCCAGTCAGTGACATCAACACTGGTGTTATTTAGGATGTCCCACCCCTCGCATCGTCTCATTTATCTGGACAACTGAGGAGCCTAGAGAGGGAAGGGCCTGACAGCTTATCTGGTCCCGGTCGAGGCATTTCCCAGATGGAGAATGGGAGACCCGCAGATGTGACTCAGCCACCAGTGTTAACCTTAACCCTCGCTCTCCAGATTCTTTCCGTGGGACACAGGGCTCCTTACTTACAGAGATGAGGTTAGAGAATATTTCTTCCGATTATCTGCCAAAACGTTATAACTTTCCCAGGAGCAAGGAGCATCACGAGACTATAGGGTCAGAATAAAAATCCCCATTATGTCCCAGGGGTGCTGGGAGGGCTGAATGTCATCCACTCTTTCGGGTGGAGCTGGCACACGCGTGGGGGAGCCCCAGGCAGGGTGGGGACGGCGGAGCTGAGACACAGGGCCCGGGCTCCAGTCTCGGGGCTGGCGGGTGTCTCCGCCCTGGACTCCCAGCCTCTTTCTTCCCACCACTTTTGCCAATTCTGTCAGCTCATCTGGAGGGCTAGAACCCTTCCATCCCCAAGAGGTGGTCTTGTCTACAAGCCACAGGGATTACACGGTGACTTAGCTCTCAAAGGCTCTGGTCAGGTTTAATGCCTTAGAAGCAGACAGCGGCCATGACCTGGGCCCCAGGCCTTGAGAACTGTCAGCACCTGAACTTGCTCCAGCTGTGGACATCACTATTCCCGGGACACCTTGCAGCTGGCGAAGCATGTCAAACTCCCACAGAGATGAGGCAGGGAGAGCTAATGAGGTAGGAAGGGAGAGGTGAGAAGGGGCAACGAGCTCTTTCCCCTGGGCTGATGTCGGCATTTCCTTGAAGTTCAAGTGCATCCAGTGATAAACTCATCCTGCTGTGCCCAGGGTGGACCTGACCTTTGGCTGAAAGACCAGATGGCCTACGGCACCTGGCAGTCTAGCATCTCCTCTTCAGTCTGCACCCCATTCTAGGCTGACGTCTTAGCAATATTTCTCCCCTTAGAATGACTTCGGAACGCCCCATTCATTGGCTAGCAAATCGAAGGATTTAATGTTGAGAAACATCAGGGGGGGGAAGAAAGAGCACATATGATGCTATGCTCAAGATCAGACCGCAGTGGAAATTTCACAAACACGATCATTGAGGAAGAGGGAACGGCCCACCCCCACATGCATGTGGCATAAAGATAAGCCTGTTTATTATTATTATGTTGTTGTTGTTGTTTTGTTGTTGTCGTCGTCTATTCATCAAAACATGCCTGTTTACAGAAGTTATTTTATCCTCTTATTTTTTTTTCCCCTCTCAGAGAGGCTGATTGTGTGGGCTGGCAAGGCCAGTGGGGACCCAGCAGGGCCAAGGTCAAGTCTCAGGACAGCAGACTCAGGCCCTGAGGACTCCAGCAACACCACCCTGAAAGTCCCTCCGTGGACCCATGGTTCTCCAGACCTCCGTTGTCCCTGAGACAGAGGTCCTGGCATCCCACACTCACCCCCATGGGCTGCCTAGAGCTTGAGCCCATCAAGAAGAACCAACTGGGAAAGGAACAGATGGTCCATTAGGGCTTCTGGCTTTCCCCTCTGCAGGTGAAGGACAGAGCCCAGCAAAGAACTGAGGTTGCTCAGATTATGCGGACTAGGAAACCTGAGACCCACCAGCCCCACTGGGCCTGCCAGATGAGAAGTTCAAACCCCACCCAAATACCACCACTGACACCTGGACGATGGAGCAAAGCTCCCAGAGCAGGCCGGCCCCTCCTCTCCAAGCTCCCTTTGCTCACTACCACACCTGCCAGCCAGCGCCAGCCCCCTGTTGTTCAGCCAAGACCTCAGTTCCTTGAGCAGAAATACGCTCTCGAACATTGAATCAGCCCCGGTGCCCGAGACGACCGCTTGGCGGCGGGGAGGGGGCCGGGCGGGATCTGGGCTCAGCCCAGGCTCTTTACTTTAACAAACTCCTTGAAGTCCGGGGCCTCGTCCGTCTTCTGCTGGATCAGGGCAGCCCCGTTGAGCTGGCAGCTGCAGAAGCGGATGTAGGGCTGCATGTGCGGCAGCTGGGCCGTCAGGATGTCGCCGATCATCTTCACAGGCATCTTCTCCCCGGACATCTTCTTGCGAACCCTCAGCGCTCTGCATGGAAACACGAGAATGAGCCCCGTGCCTGCACACTGTCTGACGGCGACACGGCACACTTCCAGGTCGGACAGGAACAGAATGTGTGTGAGGGGCACGAACCCCGGGGCCACTAAAGGGTTTGTCTATGTGGCAGAAAAGGAACAGGAAAAGGAATGAGTCTAGTGCTACAGAGAGGTGTCACCGGAGCGTTTTTCTTTGGCCTGATGACTGTTTGCTGGCTCTCGGGAATAAAAACTTTAAAAAAGAACTTTGCCAAATGAGTCAGCATGAAAAACAATCTTCTCTCATAGAGAACTATGGAATCCTTTCTCTAATAACTCAGACAGGGCCCCTGCGTCGATGTCTCACATTACAGACGATCTGTGGTGAAGGCCCCGGCTGGTGTGGCCCCAGGACTGAGCCTGTTTTCAGGCCAGTGCCACCCAAGAAAAGCCAGTGTTGCCAGGGGACATAGAGGACATGGAGGCTCGTTTTCAAACTAAACAGACATGATTAAGATGGTAAATCAAGTCCACGGCCATGCTACTCCGAACAAGCCTGATCCCATCTGACCTTGGAAGCTAAGCAGGGTCAGGCCTGGTTAGTACTTGGATGGGAGACCACCTAGGAAGACCAAGTGCTGTAGGTGTAAAAAATAAAATAAAAAAATAAGGGATTGTAAACTGACAAGGTCCTTGCAATCTGTGAGGTCAACCAAGGGCTGCCTCGCAAAAAAAAAAAAAAAAAAAGAAAGAAAGAAAAAAAAGATGGTAAATCAACTGCCACAGAAAAATAAACCCATTACGTTCACCAAAGCCAGGGATAAATGATGTCTGAACCGCCTGTGCTGTGCACTGCTTCTTTGCTCTCACTGATTTGAACTTGACCTGATTAGGAGGAGTTCTGGAGAGAGAAGCTTATCAATGTGATAATGGATCAATGGACCCAAAACTATATTCTGGAAGCTGAGAAGGGACAGCAGGGACCGGGAGGTGTTTGTGTGGGGCCCTACTGCAGTCTGAGCATTCAGGGCCATCAGAGGCAGGAATGTGCACCCACCCTCCCAACTCGGGCACACAAACCCCTAACACCAGCATCCAGCAGAGGGCACGACACTGAGCTTCTACACAAGGATGGCAGTGCCCTATGAGGGCAGGACCAACACATGAGGCCATGCGTGTGTTCTGCCCACCTTAGTGATCGCCAGTGGATGGATGGATAGATGGTTAGATGGATGGATGGACGGACGGACTGACGGGTGGGTGGGTGGGTGGATGGATGGATGGATGGATGGATGGATGGATGGATGGGTGGATGGGTGGGTGGATGGAACAGAATAGTATGCTATATGATTTTAACGTGAGGATGGGAGGATGTCACTGTGACTTCCTTTGGCTGCCTTCATAGTCATGGGTAGAGCTATATAATTCCAAGGAGGCTCTGTAATCTTAGTATTAGGCTTTAAAAACTTCAGATCATTTTATTTTCTCTCACCTACATTTTTAGTTTAAGAGGAAAAAAAAAAAAATCCCTGGACTGGGCAAGCAAGCCAAGGAGAGTAACTTTAGGGACAATAAGTTATATGGCCTGGACACTTAGTGATGCCCTAGTGAGGAGAGGTCAGCACTGGCTACCTGGGGTGTGGGCAGTGGCAGCTTGGTACCCTCGGGATGGCCCAGTGGCCAGTGCCACCAGTGGTGATAGTGTGAAATATCTCCCAACACGTAGAAATTTGCTCAAGGGTGAAATCACCACTGATCTGGGGAGACGAGACCAAATAATCATGTTACAAACTTGCTGTGGATGGAAACAGGAAGAAATTCTGTCATTCCATCATTTTTCCATGAGGAGCAAAACATTCTTTCTACAAGGAAATGAAAGTACTTCCACCACCACCCCTTTTTTTAAATGATGGGGAGACAAGTAAAAGGGAAAAGAAGAAAGATCGCGTGTAGGTAGACAGTGTCTGGGGGAAGCTAAACCGGTTCCTGAGTGCGGGAGGCCTGCACTTGTAGACTCATGTTGTCCAACCAGGAGGCCGGGAGGTAGAGCTAAAACCAGGCCCCGCCTCTGACCAGGCACCTGTCAGGTTGCTGTGGGTGTCCTTCTGGGATGTTCCACTGCACAGGCAAGATTAATGAGGACTGGGCTTGCATGAGTTTGAACAGAGGGTGTTGCCAGGCCTGGGGGTCGCACGACAGTCGCCTCAGCTGCAGCTCTGCCTTTCGGTGAGCTGATGTGTCATCTCACAGAGGGTTACGGTACTGGAGGCCTCGAGTGATGGATCAGCTAATAGACATTTCAAAGAGCACTCCCTGCTTGCTTAACGAAAGAGCGTTCCTGGCCCTTGAAAGCCAAGTGGACGGTCAAAAGAGCTGGCGTTCATTAATACATCCTCTGTATCGAATGCCTTTTTTTTTTTTTTTTTTTTTTTTTTTTTTTTTACATATATTACTTATTATCCCTGTTGACTTTTAGGGAAACTGAGGCGCACAGAAATTGAATGACTCAACCAAAGCTAATAGGTGACAAAGGCAGCCCTCGAACCCAGGTGATCTGACTCCAGAGCCTGCAGTTTGTAAGCACTGTGTGTGGGATGACAGGCCCAGTGCCCAGACGCACCCCTACGCCGCTCGGGCCCCTGGCCTGTCCCTTCTCCGCTTCCCCTGGACTTTTGTGTCTATTTTTAAACAATTTGTCTCCAACACTCCAGGTTTAGTCCTTGCAGGTTTAAGAGTTAACTCATCCCCTGACCCCAGGTGACGGGGCCGTCTCTCCCCAAGGTGAGGGTGGGTGCTCAGCCCTTAACACCACGGTCACTGCGGCCCAGGCTCAGCACTCACTGTGGACCCACGTGGTAGGTACCACTTCACCCCCATATTACAAACGAGGACACTGAGGCCTGGGGAACGGCAAGTGACTTGCCCAGAGACACACAGCCAGTGGGCAACAGCAGGCTGTGAGCCTGAGTTTGACCCAGACCTACGCTCAGAAGCTTCTAGAGCCCCCTCCTCAAGGAGGACAATGAAAATGCTTTCTCTGAAACCCCTGGGGTCATCTTTGATAGTTGGTCTTTCAGAACATTCCACATCTTCCTCACATCTACCTTCGGCCCCTCCTCTCTCTATGCCTTGTCCACTCCTGAACGCACTCAGGAGAGTAAGGACTTGAAATGGCCTTACGAGAACAAGGCAGGGGTCACACTTAGGAAATAGCCACCTTCTGGACTGTGTGAACACAGAGGTTAAGAGTGGGCCCCAGTCCCAGGGGGCAGTGCCTCGTTCTCAGGCCCAGGGGGAAGGTGGCCCTTCCTCCCAGCTGGCTGCATCACTATGGACTTAGTCTGTGTTCTAGCCAGTGCTATTATAATGAGTGCCTGGTGGACACGCATTTGAAAGGTTTTCTTAGAACTGGAAGGGACCTTTGTGATGATGTAATCTAATCCTTTCTGTTTATCGGTGGGGAAACTGAGGCTCAAGGAGGCAGGGCAGTGGGGTGGGCCCCACACCCAGATCTTCTGCCTCCTGGCCCAGTGCCTCTCCCTTGCCCTGCAGCTGCCTTTGAGAACTAAACTGGGAAGAGAACACCAAGCTCCGGGCCAGCTTCTCCCAGCACGTGCCCAGGCACCGCTGCTGTGGTGGGCAGTGGAAGGTTCCAGCATTTTCCACCCACAGGAGCCAAGAACGCCTCGAGAGCCCAATATTTGCCTGTGGAGACCCAGGATGGAGCCAGAATTGGCCAAGCTCCGGAAATTGGAGAAGGACGGGAAAAGCAGAACCCGGGGTACCCTGGCCGTGTACTCTCCATCAGGAAAATCTGGGGACGTGTTTTGCAAAGCATCCGAGCCAAAAGGAGCCATGGTGCTTGTGAGTGGAAATGAGCAAAAGAGGTGGAAAGAAAGACAGGGCAGCGCGCACGAAGGGGGCGCGGGGGGCGGGGCGCGCAGACGGCGGGGGTTTTTTTTGGGGGTGCGCAGGGCGGACCCTGCAGGGCGGGGCGCGGCGGCTCACTTCAGCAGCTTGACGTTGCACATGACCAGCTCCTTCCAGTTCACAAACATCGTGGCGCCCTCTTTCTCTGTCAGCAGCTCGGACTCCATCAGGGGTTTCTGAAAGATCTACAGATGCAGAAGACGAAGCAGTTCAGAAAGCAGTTAGCTTAAAACTCAAACACGCGCACACGCAGATCCGTTCAGAGCCATGGAACCGACCCGAGCACCTGCGGGGCTTCGCTGGGAGGCCGGAAGTAGAACGCCCCACCTTCCCGCAGGTTCTGAAGCAGATGGCCCCTCCTCTGCCTGGGGGGAAGAAGAGGGGGCCAGGGCAGGAGGGGGTCCCCATGAGGTCTGCACTGTTTTGCAAGGAAGGCCACAGAGGTCGGGAAGACAGGCCTTTACCCCACCAGGACAAAGCTGGGAGGCCTGGACAATGCCTCACAGCGTCTTACCTGTCCATGGTGAGGTCACGGGCACAGTGGGAAATGGGGGGCGGGGGGAGCCTAAAAATGCACATGGGTGTGGACGACTCTTCCATCCTCGCCTGCAGTGTTGCTGCAATCAAGCCTTGGGTATTCTGAGGGGAGCGGCTCCCGGCAGCCGGGCCCCCCAAAGCCCCCGTAACAGACTCCATTGCTCTGCCTTCGGCCCGGGCTGGGCCGGGGACAGAGCCAGCACCTGCTGGCCTGGCACAGGGTGGGCGCGGCTCCTCTCCTGGGCTCTGGGAAAGAAATGGGCTCGCCCAAGCTGCAGGCGTGTGCCTCTCCTGGAGATTCTGTACGGATAGGACGGTCTATCTTTCAATAAACTTAGCTGCACGGGGCGGGAGTTAGGGGGTGTAGGGGGTAGGCTGTCCCCCAGAAACCCTATTCTTCATGAATCCTTAACCGATGTTGAACCTGGCACATACCAGGTTCATATACTGCACAAAGGTTCCATATCTAATGGGGTGACGTGCACATCCTAGACATCCTAGACTGCATGACGGTCAAGTGTCTTGAGAAAGGGTCATCTTTTTGAATTTACACAAGGGCTTTCTGTGCATTAATGGTGGCCTCATGGGCCAACACCCATCCTGCACCCTGTACTCCTTCAACACTGGGTGGCCGAGTCACATCTTTCCTGGCCATTAAGACTCAGAGGAGATGGTTTCGCAACTCCTAGGTGGTGAGGGGGCTGGCGTGTGGGGATGGGAGTCTCTAAACTACTACGGTACTTGTCAGATTGCAGAGTAACCCTGACATCCAGCTCTGCAAACACCTGCTTCCTGATACAGCCACTTCCCAGATATATGGACAAAAGGCTTCTTGAAAAGCAGGGGCTCCCAACTCTGCATCTCCCCATCCTTCTGGACAGGGCCCTTCAACAACTCCTCAGTAGGAGACACAAAATGAGACATCCTCTGAGACAAGAGGGGACCTGGGAGGAAACGTCTTCATTCTCAGCAACGGATTTCTCTCAGGATCAATACGTAGCACTAGGAACGACTCAAGACATCAGCCAGATGGCTGCCGTTTTCAGATGCCAACCCTGAAGGCCAGGGGAAGACGTGACTTGCTCTGTGTATCAACCAGTTGGTGGCTGAGCTGCAACTCTGCGGACAGCCTAGACTCCCAAGTCACAGTCCATGTGTCCCCACCCATGCAACTCCTCACTCGTGTCCCTTGGCATAAGTGATCTCTGCCCCTCTGAGCTGAGGACTCAGAGTTGGCCGAGGATGAGAATTTAACCATCTTTTCTTGGGTAAGAATCTCCTACGTGGTTTACCATCCGGGTGCTCCCCACACATCTGAAAGGTTCTCAGGCTCAGAATCAGGGCGCAGTGCTCCTCGGCAGAGGCCCCCCATTCTCTCCTCATCCTCTCCCAGCGCCCCCCGCCACCCCCGGGCACCCACAGCTGCTGTTACCTCTGTGACCAGCTGCAGGTCATTCACATAGTTCTCTTCTGTGACAATGAGTTCGTGGATGTATCCTTGTCGCTTTCGTTCAGTCGGGGTCAACATATCCAAGAGATGTAAGTCTGAACACCCTGGAAAACACAACCAGTAGGACAATTAGTCAAAGTCTGGGGGAATCCATACAGCTTCACAGTGAAGGTTCCCCCAGGACCTCATGGCTGCTGGGCCCCGTGGTCTCACTCCAGTCTGGCAGTGTTGTTGTGGGTTGAGTCATGTCTCCCAAAAAGAGATATTCAAGTCCTAACCCCTGGTACCTGTGCATGGGACCTTACTTGGAAATAAGCTCTCTGCAGATATCACCAAATTAAGGTGACATCATACTCAATTAGAGTGGGCCCTAATCCAACTTGACTTGTGTCCTTATGAGAAGATGAGACAGAGACAGACCAAAAAAAAAAACACCTTGTGAAGACAGAGGCAGACTCGAGCAAGATGCATCTACAAGCCCAGGAAGGCCCAGGCGGCCAGCGGCCATCAGAATCTAAGAGAAAGGGCTGGGACAGATGCTTCCCTAAACCCCTCAGGGCCACACGACCCTGCCAACACCTCAGTTTTGTACCTCTCATCTCCAGGTCTGTGAGAAAATAAATTTCTGTTGTCTTAGGCCACCCAGCTTGTGGTCATTTGTTACAGCAGCCCTAGCACACTAATACACATGAGTACTCCTCCGTGGTCAAACTGAGGTAACGGTAAGAGAGAAGGCTTTGTAACAACTGGCCAACATTTCATGAGGGCTTCTGCCATGCCAGGCACAGTACAGAAAGCTTCACGTCGACAGCTGTGTTGAATGCTCACACGGATACTACGAGCATCTCTGTTTTACAGGAGAGGAAGCAGAGGCTTAGGGAAGGTGACTCACACCAGATCTCTCAGCTAGGTGGTGGTGAAAACCAAGAGTCGAACCCCGACACGCTGACTCCAGACACTGGGCTCGACCCTAGAGCACTGGTGCTGGGTCCAAGCGACAGGTGGGTAAAGGTCATCCCGAGGTTGGTTTTGGAGGACGTGGTGGCCATGCTGAGGCTCCCGATGGGCCTGGGGACCATCCAGTGCTGGATGAACTCTCCCGGAGCAGGCTGCTACCCCACACCTGAGCGGCCAGCCTGTAGGCAGAGGGGGAAACCCCTCCAGCTGCAGACGGTCAGGCAGAAGACCACTGCCACGGCCAAAGCCAAAGGCGCTCCAGGGGCCGGCTCTGCGACCTGAGTCGGAGTGAGCTGGCGCTTCGGCTTGCTCAGCTGGTTATTTGGGGTTTTGCTCTTGGGTTATTGGCGGAGGCTGCCCTGTGACACTGGTACACTGGAATGCAGAGGGAGAGCTCGGTTTTGGGGACATCCCTCAGGCAGGCCTGGACCACCTCTTCCAGGCCAGTGGTCACCCCTTCCTTTTTATTGGGGATTCCTCATTTAATCGCAGAAATCGGATTCATAAAACAGCCTAGGAGGTGTGCTGTACGGTGATCACGGAAATGGGAACACAGTCTCATTCACTTGTTTTTCTCATCCCTTCTCTACCCCACAAGGGGGCGCAATAGAGCACAGTGTGAAAACCCTCACTGGGACCAGGAGTTCTCAAAGTGTGTTTCCAGGACCAGCAGCATCAGCATCACTTCGGGGTGGGTTAGAAATGAAAATCATTAGGCCCCTGATGGATGGATGATCTGGGCTTGGGGCTTTGGAATCTGTGATTTAACAAGCTCTCCAAGTGATTATTTTAGGCTCACTAAAGATTGAGAAGCCTGCTCTGGACCATCAGAGGTTCTTCAGAGTTTCCATCTTACCCCAAGGGACTTATCTGGGCTCATGACTGACCTCGTCTATATGCTGGAAGCTTCTGCAAGTAGAAGGATCCCTTTGGGGCAAATGATGTCATAGACTTGTTGGCAAATGCTTCACTGCGCTAGAAATTAACTCTGAGCTGGGGCGCTTCCAGCCCTCCGTTGTGTCCCCTCCCCTGGCCAAATGTCCTTTTTGGAATGCTGCAGCTTCTCTTCCTGAGACGAGACAATCTCGGGACAGGCAGAGGGATGCCGGGAAGGCAGCGAGGACAAGCCCTCATTATGTTAACACCCTCCGTGTCCACCCATCTGAGGCCCCACTCAAAGCCACCACAGTGTGGCCAAGCTACCATTCCACAGGACCACGAGCTGAGGATGGGCCTTCGCTCAGGTCCGCAGATGTATCTGGAGCGGGGCCACTCTGCAAAACCACAAGCTTGGCCCAATTGTTCTTCCTGCCTCAGGGCGTTGGTTCTATTTTATTAAAACAATTGCATCAACAATGAACTCTCAGGAAGGAAGCGAGTTGCGACTCCTCACTCATTCCATTCAGCCGCCTCTGCCAAGCTGCTGCGTGAGCTCTGGCTTACGGGACACTGAGCAATGTTACCAGTTTCCTTGGCTTCCGTTAGGAGAACCACCCAGGAAATATTCTTGAGCTGGGGAGGGACACGTCTCATTCCTGCCCTATTCTTACCAAACTTTCTTGTTAGTAGTGAGTCAACGGACCCAGGACTAAGGCCATTTCTTGTTAAGGGTGGAAGGCGGCCCTTCCATGACTGGCTCGTGGGACTCCCAGAAGCAGATTCTCCCTGGGATTTTCAGGACGGTCCTCTCCGCGGGGTTATCGGCATAGCAGTCGGTACAGAGCTGCAGTTGTAAAACACGCCGGCGCTGCGCGGTGATGTTTGCAGGGACAGAAACCTCAGGCTAGTAGTAGACACTGGTTGGGCCAGTCTTCCAAATGTCCCTTTAGGTCATAATGTCCCTTGGAGAATCTGAAAGATGCTGGGAACGCTTGCCTCAGAAAACACACGCGCACGACGCATAAGACATACACCCATTTTGCATAATTTTATAGCGTTCACAGTCCCTCTTCAAGCTTGTTCATGGATCTTACTCATTTATTCCTTTGACAAATGTTTACTGATGTCCTACCATGAGTCTGGCACTAACTGCTGGGTGCTGCAGATTCGTGATGGAAAAAGAGATGCCTGCCTTCCAGAGTGTACGGCTAAGAAGCTTGGGATTAGGTGGTCCTCAGCTGGGGGTGGTACTGCTGCCCCCAAGCCTGAGAACGGCACTGCTCCCCTTCCCAGGCTGGGGGTGGTATAGCCCTCCACTCTCAGGGGTGGAGGTAGTACTGCCCCACCACACACAGGCTGAATGTGGTACTGCACCCTCTCCCTACGCCAGGCTGAGAATGGATTCTTGTTGTCATCTGACGATCGGTGATTCCTGGAATTTGGTGAGCTGGACCAGGATTGCCAGATGGCCTGCATAATACAGGACAGAGAAGTGTCTACTCCAAACGTCAGTAGCAACCCACGGAGAAACAATCACGTTACTAGAAACTGACGACTCAACCAGACCAGGATTAGACGCTGCAGCGAGGATGGTGCCAGTGACCAGAGGACACCTTCGAACGACTGAGGAATCAGAAACAAGGGCCTGCGAGGAAAGATGACGGGAAGCGGCTTGCTTTGGATTTCAGAAGTTCTTCTGAGTTTTCAAGTCTTATACGGCAATTTTGAAGATGCTCAGAGCCAGAGCAAAAGCAGAAGGCCCAGGGTGGGTTCGGAACATTGGTCCAGAATCCCAGGTACTGGAGCCGGTTCAGGGTGAATTGGAGGTCTGCTGCTTATGGTGGGTCTGGGGCAGGAGGAAGCTCCATGGCCTCCCACGCTGGGCAGCTCTGGCCTTCTGGTCACCCACCCAGCAGGCCCAAGCCAGAGCTGGCGGAGCTGAGACGTCTGGAGGGTCGGTGCTGAGTGAGTCTGGGCTGCTTGCGACAACAAATTCCACCCCACGCAGGTCCACCTACCAGTCTGCCTGGAGACAGGCAAGATGGCCCCGCCGGCCCCTCCAGGACCCAGAACACAATGAAAAGCAAAGATTTTGTGGAGAGATTCATCTTAGCATTATGTGCCAATGACGTTGGCTTGGGATCATTTTTCCAGCTACTGAACTGACCTATAGGATGTTGTTTTTCAAATTCTTGCTGGTAAATGCCAGACCAAGAGAACCATCAGAGATTTGAAATAGGCACTTTGAACTCAAAAATATCCTTCTTTTGAAAATTTCATACTCTGAAAAGCAAGAGAGTTTTGGAAACTCCATTATTCAGAGCAGGGTACATGGAAAAGACATTTCAAATAAAGGTTTTTTTTTAGGGGTGGAGGCACATGGCCCTCCTCTCCTGTGGGAACCAGGGGTAAGCGTGGTTTGCTGGCCACCCTTCCCGGTGCAAAACCAGAGGATAGAGTACAGCAAATAACTTTTCATCTTGGTGTGAAGGGATTCTTATAACTAACTATAACCCGCTCACAGCTGAGATAATATTGCAAATGACTCCAGGCAGTTAAAAATGAACCCCAATGATAGCCCACACAAAATTCCTAATCCCTTATAATTTCATGTACTTAGACACATTTACAAAATGGAGAGAGTGCGTCTGAATTTGCGTCTGAGGTACCGGAGAAAAGTATGGGAAAATCTTACCCAAAAGGCCATCTTGTCCCTTCAATGAGACAATGTTTATATGCACAACATAATCTAAAAATATTGCTTTATTACAAAAGTAATACATGAATGCATGCTCCCTGTGAAAGGTTTAAAGAATACAGAAGTCTTTAGGGTAAAAAGTGAATGTCTCAACCCCCTCGACCATTCTTTCTTTCCCGAAAAGGACCATAATTTTGAAAACCAAGCGAGCCCCACAGTAAGCTGGCCACTGAGCAAAGCAAATAAACAGGCCTTGTTCCTGTTACGAAAGGGCCAAAATATACAATAAGTTGGTCAGTAAATATTTATTAAGTTCCTATGAAGTCCAAGGGACACAGAAATAAGCAAGATAATGTCCTTGTCCTGAAGCAAACTCACAGCCCTCGGGGAGACTCGATAGGAAAATAAAATATAAAATAGCAAGCAAAAAGTGCGCTTGTGAGCCAGGCCGATGGCAGGGACTTGCAGGGCTCAGGAAAGTAGATGCTCTTGATCCCAAGGAAGGAGGTTCCTGCAGGGAGGTCCTGCTCATGCTGGGTTTCCAGAAGGGCTGGCAGATGGGCCGTTATC